CAAGGCATCCCTCTCCTCCATGCTTCCGTCACCTGGAACCGTTTTCTCCTAGCATTAACAGCCATCTTCAAAAAGCAACACATGAGCCCTGGCTGGTTTGGCTCAGTAGTTAGAGCATCAGCCTATGGTCCAGAGAGAAGTGGGTTCGGTTCTCACTAAGGGCACGTACCTCGGTTGGTCCCCGGCCCTGGTTGGGTTGTGCGGGAGGCAGCCACTCGATGTGTCCCTTTCACGTCGATATTTCTCTCTCCTTCTCCTTCCCACTCTGTCTGAACAAAAAATGGAAAAATGTCCTTGGATGAGGATAAAAAAAAAAAAAAAGCAACACATGAAACTATTTTCAAACTGACTTTAATCATTTTTTTTGCTGCCCAAATACTGTACATGCAGAAGCCATGTGAAGAATTTTCTCCTCAAGGGAATTGGCAAGAACGTTTTACGAACGGCGGGCAAGCCCTTCCCAGCTGTCCACCTGCCACCCAGGAGCCACGACCAGTCTGGAAAGATGCTGCACATAGAAAATGTATAGAGCACAGATATAAAAGGCTAATTGCTTCTTATCTAAACAGTGTGCTTGTCAGTCCCTATCAGCTATCTCTTTCTTTGCAGGATGCACTTGGATATTCTAAAAAAAAAAAAAAAGGGTTCCTGCCTCCGGTGAATTTACATTCTAAAGGAGTGGACAGAACAATCCTAAGGAAGCAGCCACTCTGCCTGCTGAGATGTCCTCTGATAAAAGACATTCTGGAGAGAGAAGTGATTTTAAGGAGCAAAATAGTTGGACGGGAAACGAGATCCTTCTCTCTTCCCATCAGAGAGCATTTCCTTTTCAGTTCTCCAGTGCTCAACTCTCCCACGATGTCATTCTAGCAGCAGCAGTGAGGACCGACGCAGCCTCATCTGCTGGTGGGGATACTGACCTACACAGGGTGCAGCTGAGGTTGTAACATCACATCAGCACCTTGAAAATGGTCCGTTGTGGACACCTCTTAATTATTTCTCACCAGTACACAAGAATAAGAGGGAGTAAACCACAGAGGTGGGAGCAGTCTGTTAGGGTTCCCAGAGTTCTTGGCAGAAGCAGCATCTGGGCGTGGAGGGATGAGGGCCTGCCCCCAGCTTGGGCACCCAGGGCTGGAAGAAACCAGGTGCTAGGTACCAGGCTCACAACCCTCATCGGCTTCGGATCTGACTTTTAAAACCTGGAGGGAACCACACAGCGACTAGCAAATGCTCTGATTTTGCAGATGGGAAGGAAAGCAGAGGCCCAGAAAAGTGAGGAGTCTTGCCCATGGTCACTGGTTCTGGAAACTTTATACAACAGCCTTTGATGCTCTAGAGCCAGCCGTCCAGGCCATGGACCAATGGGGTGGGTGCTCTGCTGCCCCCAAATTCCCAGGGCTCCTTTCTGTTAGCCAGGCTCTCTGGAACCCAGTCCTGTGGGTCCTTCTGGCACCAGGGTGAGCTCCTCGGCAGGCCCGAGGCCCCTGTCCTTACTGGCCAAGTTTCCAGCCAGAGCACTTGCACTTTTCAACGAGCACTCACCCCAGCCAGGCGAGGCCCCTGCGAGAATGCAGGTTTCTCTCTCCGGTGTGGTTTCCCTCACAGGCACAGCCACGCTGGGCCCACAGAAGCCCAAGCTCAGGGACGGGGGAGGGGGAGTTGCTTTGCTACATGGAAAGATTAAGCCCTTTTGTCAGAGAACAAGGTCCCGCCGTCAGGCAGGCCAACACAGAGCTGGTGCCCAAGGAGGCCAAGTTGCTCTCTTTGGCATCACTGACACTGCTCTGAGATGCTCAGGCACGCTTGCAAAATTATCCTTTCCCAGCCAGACCGGGTCGATCCAGCCCCCATCAGGCCTCACCTGACCAGGCAGGGCTCCCCTGCCCTTCCATCACGATTGCTTTGTTTTGCCCCCGTCTCTTCTGACCTGAGTGAAAGCAGACTGCAGGGAGAAGCAGGGACCACCAGTCCACATTCCCATCTCCTCCCTGATCATCTAGTGAAAGATAAAACAATCCAGGAAGCAGCATTTTAAAGACCCTCTTCACGTGTCAGGATATTGGAGAAGAAAACGCAGAGGAGGGGAAGAGAAAGGTCAGGATCGGCAGGGCAGCGGCCTGGTCTTTTCCATCTGCTCGCAGCCACTGCAGAAGCCCTGCAGGACCACCCCCTCGGCCTGAACGCCGCGCCCTCTCTCTCCACCCAGGTGGAGGACATCTCATTACAATATCAAGCAAAGGCAGCGATTTCTTGCAGAGTTTGCACAGTGCAGGGAGCAATCAGAGAAACAGAACAGCAGCCTTACTGAAGCCGTGCTGCTTTCTGGGCTGAGGAAGTTGGGGATCAGAGGTATCAGCAGCTCTGGAGCCCCAGGGGAGGAGCGCAGGTCTCCCAGGCAGCAGGGCGATGAGCAAGAACCCTGGATGCGTGTCAGGGCTCCCGGTAACTCAGTCTAAGATTGTGCTACATTTCATACCCAAAGAAGTACTCTTGGAGGGTACTATTGTCTTTAAAGGGGGTGCTTCTGCTCTCCTCAAGGCTGGCAGTAAAGAAGAGCTCAGGCAGGCTTGCCCTGGTGGGTGTCATGCCCCTGGGGGTACTGGCTTGACCTCAGAGCCATAATGGGCAGTGATCCCACGCACGAAGAGCAGCATGGGTACCCTCTCTCTGGAGCTCCTAGGTTCTGCCTCGGCCAGTCCTGGTCATGCCTGGGACTTGCTGTACACCAACAGCCTCCTGGGAGAGCTAGGCGGTGGGTCATTTTGGAGATGGCTCTTCCCTGAAGGATCACATCCCCCTGGTCAAACCAAGACTTGACCCATTTAGTGGAGACTGATACCAAAGGCCCATCACAGGCTTCCCTGCAGGGAAGCAGTTCGTGGAGGAAGTGGGACGGATTGAACAGAGCAGGAATGTGGAGACAGATGCTCTGAATCATTCGCCATGGTTCCTGCCCACAGCCTGCTTCGCCGCAGGGCCGTTTCTGTCTGCCACACTTTCCACAAATCCTGCCTGAGCAGAGGGAGATGGAGTGACAGAGCCCCAGTCCGGTCTGCTCCGGGTCCACCTAGGCTAAGGGGGCACTGGAGCCAGGACACTGTACCTGGCAGTGGGTTGGTCCCGGGTATTCCTTCCTCTCCCACCTCCTCCTCAGAGGACAGATGCCCCCCACCAGGGATGGCCAGAGTCACCCTCGAGCTCCCTCCTCTCCTGCGGCAGGCTAGCTCGAGTGGCTTTCCAGACAAGCCCTGCTCCCAGGATGCTGAGAAAGACCCTGGAGTCCAGCCAGTCACCACCACACACACTCATCAGCCTCGCACGTCTTCACCCTCACGAGGGGAAATCTAGGTGGGGATCAGTCCCTTATTTGGTACAAAGGGTTAACAAGAATAATTCCCAAGGTCAACTTGGGGGGAAATTGCTTCCCATTAGAGGTGGATTTGTGGAGTGGCCCAGCCCCTGGGTACCCTTGGCAGCTGGGGGTGGTAGGCAGCTCAGCGCCAGTTCCCAACACATCAGGCCCCACCTCTGGCTGGACCTTCCCCTGAGCTAACGGATCTTCCCCAGAGGCAAAGGCCACCGCCTCCAGCGACCCAGCGGCAGTCTCTGCCGGCAGCTCCCACCTTCCCTCACATCTTTCCTGGAGGAGTGAGGGTGACGCCCCTCGGTGATACTCCCCCATTCCCTGGGGGCTGCCAGGTCTGAGGATCACCCTTCGCTACGTCAGCAGACGTCTCCACTGTCACTAATTGTCCCCCCACCCTCGGTGCATTTCCACAGCATCCTCGAGGCGAACACCTCACAGACAGGACATGAACCACCCTTCTGTGCGTGAGTTTCCTCCTCTCCCCACCCCAGGGTCAGAGTACCCAGCCCTTGGCTTCACTGTAGAGACGTGAGAAATGCATGCATTACCCCATCCGGACAAGGGGACAGAATTTCTGCAGAAAGAAAACGAGACCCAGCTGCCTCCTCCCGCTTCTCAGCGCACACAATGGTTCTCATCTGCGGTACAAGAATCCGGGATCGGGCAGGAGACGGGACCCAGGAGCCCACTGTGTTCGTCTTTACTGCCCGTTTTACCTACTCTGTCTGTGGGCAGGACTGACAGGGTCCGGGGTTCTTCCCCTTCTCTTTTGGGAGGAGAGGTACAGGCTCTGCCTTCAGCCCACTGTGGATCCCGCCCAAAAGGAGGCCCTTTGGCAGAGATGGCGGTAACCCCAGAGAGCCTCCCGTCCGCCCTCGGAATCCACCTCCATGCCTGTCCGGCTTTGGTTACAGGTGGAGTCCACGCACTCAGGCCCTGAGACCTCTGCTCTGCTCCCCGGGGAGCTCCCGCCGGCGTCCATGGCTGGCGTCACTGCAGCATTGGGATGATGTCTGGGGAAGAGACAGAGAGCTTGCCCGTACTATGACCCCTCTGCCACCTCTCTCCTCCCCCAGACATGGACCCAAGGGCTGCTATGTCCGTCTCTTGGGCAACCTCCCACCTTTCACCCTAGACCTGAGGAGGGAGGGGGACAGATTTGGGCATTCCTGAGCCAGCCTTCAGTCCGGGCACTGGTCCCCACCCACAGGGCTCTGAGTCTGCGGCTTAGGGGAGCTCCAGCAGATGGGTGAGAGCAGGCGGGCAGGTGCCCAGAGCAGGCCAGGCTGTCTCCGGAGGGCAGTGGCAGAGCCCCAGCGGCGGGAGATGGAGAAGGGAGAGTATTGCTTGCACAGAGCTGGTGACTGTGGGAGACCAGACCCCAGAGCCAGGCGGTCTGTGGAGCTAGGATGCTGGAGCCCACCTGAGTCTGAGCTCCCAGATAAACCCTGGTCTAGAAATGAGCAAGAAGCAGAGCTCCAGGTGACTGCTTCAGGCAGCTGACCCCACAGGCCAGACAGGGTTCTCAACAGTGGCTCAGAGTGTCAGTACCCCCCCCCCATTATCCCAGCAAACAGCCCCACCCTCAGCACCTCCTCGTAGACCAGGCCCCACCCGAATGAGCCCTGGGGGGACAGGACCACCCCCTGAGCCTGGGAAGACACAGGTGCCTCCAGGGACGGTCTGCTTTGGCAGATTACCTCCCCTCTGAGGCCAGCCTCCTGCATGTCAAGACCCTCCCATCCATAGCTCCTGGGGTCCACTGGGAGAGCTCCTTTGGCATGTCAGAGGCGAGGGGGCTTGGAGGGAGGCAGGAGGTGAAGAGCAGTGCTAAGGGCGGTACCGGAACTTCCCCCTAAGGTATCTGGCCAGCAACCCCAGGAACTAAGACCTCCTCGAGTTGCTTGCAGGAGATGGCTCCAGCCCGAGGGAGGAAGCAACCTCCGCGCCCTCAGCTCCCCAGCTTCTCTGCTTCCCGGCCCTGGCAGGGCACTGGAGGACCATGCTGCATGCTGCAGATGCGTTCAGTGGGGAAAGCTGCCGGAGCGGGGTGGGAGGGGTCAGGTTCCCAGAGGGGCCTCGTGGCCAGCTGCAGTGGATGCTACATTCCTCAGAAAAAGCAGCAGTGCTGGGAGAGGCAAAGGTGGAACAAAGAACGAGACAAAAACTCAGCAGGGACCACCAAGAGGAGGCACAGACAGAGACATACGGGCTCTGCCCCCAGCACAGGACCAGGCAGGATGGACCAACGGCCACCTCCCTCCTCCCATCCCTGGACTGAGGGCGAGTCGTGTCCACACAACACTCATTTGGGATTCTTTTCAACGAGACACAGAGGGACATGATATCAGCTCATGTAGTCACCAAGACTGACTATACCCAGACAAATGAACAGATATAATATGGTCACACACAGACACACACACACGCACACACACACACACACACTACACTCTCCACTGCCAGCTGGGACGGGCCCAGTAGCCAACAGGCATGCAGCAGGGCGAGGGGGCCAGAAAGACAATGAAGACTATGTACAGGGGGGAGGTGGGAGCCAGCAGGCACCCCGTCCCACACACATCTCAGCCTCTTCCTGAGGTCCTTAGGAGCACGAGGGGCTGGTGGCACTCTCCAGGGAGGACTGGGACAGGCGCCTGGTAAGGGATCCGAGTGTAGAGTCTGCCACAGAGGATGTGGGGAAGAGTTTGTACCAGCCGGTGACGGCAGCGCTCAAGTCCAGCTCGTCCAGCATGATCTGGGCCATGCCCATGAAGCACTTGTGGTCCATGCGGCCGTAGTCTCCCCAGACGATCACCTGCCGGTGGGGAGGAAGACAGAGAAACTGAGCCCCTCCCCAACTCCAGGGCTGGGTAGTGGGCCCAGGAACCTACAAGTTTCACTAGGGCCCAGATGGGACAGAGAGAACTGGAACTCAAACTGATTTCAAGGTACAACTTACTGTGCACTAAGAAGTGCCAGGTGCCCTCCTCCGGACTTTATATATATCATTTCAATGGGTGCAACCATCCAGGTAGAGGTGCTGTGTATTATTTCCACAAAGAATCAGCCACTCAGAGAGGTTAATTAACTAACCCAAAGACACACAGTAATTGGTGGCAGAGCTGGGAATGTACCCTGGGTCTGACTTCTGGAGCCTCCCAGCATCCCAGATGACCGCCTTCTCCAGGAAGGAGCAGACTGAAACTCCAGGACCTAGGTCACAGCTCCGCTCTGCCGCTGGCTCAGGGGCCTGGGCGGGCCTTGCTCTCCCTAGACCTCCATCTCCTCATCCATCCACAAAACTGGGACAGGGGACCTATTAGCTCAGTGATTTCCTAACTTGTGTTTTTATTGGTGAATTCTTTTTTTCAAAATGGAATCCCAATATATATAAAAATGGAAAACCAAGACCAAGTTTTCCCCACAGAACCCTCGGGCCGTCGGTTCTTACTGTTTGCAGCTCCAAGGCCCATGCTATGGAGCCAGCTCAGCCCAAAGAGACAGCCTTGTGAGAAGTCCCACAGCCCAGACAGACCCCAGCTCAGGCCTCGCCTCTGCCACCGACGTGGCCTCGGGCAGGGCTGGCGTCCGTCACCACCTGCACTGTTACGAGTAGCGAAGAGCTGTCCGTGTGCCAGGCCCTGTGTGAGGACCTCCGCAGGCTTCACTCGTTTCATCTTCACCACATACTGCAGCCAGTAAGTGACCAAGCTGGGACTCGAGCGCAGTACTGAACCCCAAGTCTGACCACCGCTGTGCTCCACCCCCAAGTGACCTCGTGTGGCCTCGTGCATTGCATCTATGCTGTAGTCATGATGACTCCTCTTCCTGGGGCTGTGGTGAAGGGTCTGTCACACTCAGGCAGTTGGGGTGAGATTCGCCCTGACCTGGGCTCAACTCGGCTCAGCAAGTCCCTAGCTGAGACCTCAGACAAATCACTTCATCTTTCTGAGACTGTTTCCTCATCTGTGAAATGGGGAGAATCAGACTTGCGTCCCAGGATCATCTCGAGGGTGAAGCAAAGTCACAACAGAATGCAGCTAACACAGCCTGGTGTGGAGCCGATGGGCAATGAGCACCTGCACCAGGTGGAACCGAGCTACCCTCCAAGCCTTGGTTTCCCTGTGAATCACCTGGAGGCAGTAACACCTGACTGGGTTGTGAAACTAAATGGGGAACGCGTATGAATGCACCTGGCGTTAGTGCCCGGCACAGAGTGAATCACAGATGAAACAAATGTCAGATTATGACTTGCAGTCTACGCGTTGCCCTGACACACTCACCTGCAGCACCTTGCCCTGGGGCCCCTCGTCAAAGAGCAGAGCCTGCTGGTACAGGGGGTCACAGGTCTTCTTGGCCACCTTTGTCTTCTTCTTGGCCAAGCAGGCCCCGTTCTCAAGCAGGTAAACCTTGATATAGGTGGCTGAGGGATGGGAGAAAGCATGATGGGGAGGGGTCCAGGAGAGACTGCTATGGCCTGCCCCATCCCCAATCTCCAGGTGGTCCTGGAGGTGAGCAGGTGAGTAGGACAAGCTGACCAGTGGACAGAAGGTCGAAGAGATGGACTCGAACACTGACTCCTCCATCCTCTGCTACCCCACCCTTAGTCACCGGCCTTCTGGGCAAGCCGTGACTCCAGTGTCGAGCAAACTGATGTAGGCCAACGGGGAATGAGGACTCGTCAGACCCGGAGCTCAGCTGCATACCCCTCCCTGGCAGGACCCCATTTCTAAAATCCTCCCAGCTACTCAGCCTCACCTGGGAGGGATTTGGAGCCAGGTTTGGGGGTCAGGCCCCGAGCCTCCATTACTTCCACTTCCAGCTGGCCACTCCGGTCCATGATGGCAATATGCACGTCCCCTGCAAGGGAGAAGAGGGACCGTCCAGGCAGAGCCAGACCAGGGCCAGGCCAGCCTCGGTGCAGCACTCCAGTCTGCAGAGGACACTGCAACACCGGAAAGGGCACGAGACGAAGAAAACTGCACGTGTGAGAACTGCCCTCCAGAGACCACTTTAAAGCAGCTGAGAAATGCTCTAATAGGTCCTTTGGGGTGGGGTAGGGGCATGTCCCTCAAAGGACATGCTTGGGGGCCAAAAATGGCTGTCAAACTCTCATCTAATTCTGGTTAACCAAGGGACTTGATTTACTGAGCAGAACAGGCAAGTTTGGGGACAGAGCGTCCTGTGTCAGGAAGACAGGGAGGCTGTGGCCTCAATGGCTCTTATTCTCTATAGCCGCCCTCAGCCACTTCCCTAAATACATGTCAAACAAAGAGAGGCTGAGACAGGAGCCTACCCAGGACACAAGGTAGTTGTTGCCGAAGGATGCAGGGAGGGCCGGCAGAGCCCCTGGGAGCAGAGAGCTGAGAATTCCTCACTGTGCCCCACAAAACAGATGACCCAGCTGGGGCAAGTTCTGTGTGTGGAATCGTGTCAGTTGTCTGACTTCTAGAACTCTAGCTCTGTTCAGATTCTGCAGGAGTCACTTGGAACATCCTTCCAAGGAGTGCAGAATCATAAGCCTGATGCAGAAAAACTAGAATAGGCCAGACTGTGGGTTCAGCCACCCATTTTAGATTCTCTGAGCCAATTGTTTGTATTTGCGTACTTGGTAAGATGTGAATACAAACAAAGACATTTTGAAATTCATCCCCCTCCCTCCAACTATTCCTGACCTTCCCACAGGGAAGTGGGAGGGACCTGTCTCAGAATTATTCCTCCCTGTCTCCCTATAACATCCCCAAGACGGGCAAACACAAATCTGTCATTCCAGGTTTCGGACACCAGAGGGCACCATATGCATAGTTCTAGGCTGTGATGGCACATTTGCCTTAAGGAAGTAGCTGGCTCCTCTCGCTGCCTCCCAGCCCTTTGGCTGGGCCAGGGCGGGGTAAAGCAGACTCCCCAGGCCCTGAAGAGCTAAAAGTAAGGGCTGAGAATTAGCCAGATCCAACCCAAGAGCCAGATAAGAGCTGACACTCGCCCTCTGAGGGTCCCATGGACCCCTCCTCCAGGAGACAGGCTCCGTGTGAGCACATTGAGGAAGACAAGGCGGGGCAGCGGGAAGAGTCCTGGCCTGGAAAGCAATCCCAGCTCCCTGACGCTCCTAGCAGGGTACTGTCTGCACTCAGCTTGCTCATTTGCTGTGAGGTCAGTGCAGATGTCTGGGTCAGACACTGCTTAAGTCGGACTGATGGGGAAGAGGGCGGAAGCGAGGAGGCATCTCTGGGGAGGCCAGGCCTGGGAGGAGCCGCTTGCAGCCAACACAGCCAATATCTAAGGGAGAGAGAGGAGGGAGCCAGACCTGCAGTGAGGAGGACCAAGCGCAGACTTTAGGAAGTACTCCTCGCTACAGGAAAGGGGGATGAGAAAATTATAAAGGGCATCTAGGTGCTAGACACTGTTAGAAGTAACAAGTCAAATAAGACACAGTTGCTAAGGAGTAAATTAAGTACTTCGCACAAAGCATAAAAAAAAACAAAACCCTGAATAAATTGTTGGTATTGAGGACAGGTATTTTTATTCCCATTTTACAGCCGAGGAAACAGGCTCGGAGCAGGGACTCCCCCAGGCCACCCAGGGAACTGGTGAAGCCGTGATGGCTTGTGCTCACCGTTGTACGTCCAGCCTTCGCAGAGCTGGGCACAGCCCGTGTGAAGTGAGGGTGGGAATGCGGCACAGCGGCTGCAGGGTAGCCTTCCTCTGAGCAGGATTCGTGAGCGCCGTGCTCACTCCTCACTGGCACAGAGGCCTGAAGGGGGCTCGGTCATGCAGGCCCCACTGATGGCCCCTTCCTGCTGTGTGGCCGCTGCCATCCCACTCGCCCTACCCTCGAGGAGACTCACCCATTGGTGGAGTTGCCAGTGTCTGTCGCCCCACAATCTGGGCTGGTCCCAGCCCGTCCAGGAAATCGCTGAACTGACTTTCGGGCCCAAGCCGGGTAGTGGGGAAGATGAACCTGGGGAAGGAGGCAGAGGGGCACGTGAGGGCATCTGGCTGGCGGGATGCAGCGGCCCTGTCTCTGAGGCACTGGGCATCCCTCCGAGCCTCAATGTCCCTTCTACATAGTGCGAGTGTACTGCTTCGGCTGGGGACAGACAGTCCTGTTCACCTCTGCATGTTAAAGAAAAACGCTTTGACATCCCTTGAGAAGAGACATAAGCCAGACATTTCAATGACTGAAGCAAGTTTCAAGAACTGGGGTTTAGTTGACCCTACGTTTGAAATCAAGTCAATAACATGAGGCGGTGCCCCAAACAGCAACTGAGTCCAAAATAACACAACTATGGGGTGGAGATCAGTGACGAGTGGTGCTAGGTGCTCCATGGTTCGGGGGCCCTGAAAATAGTAGCAAGAAAACCTGACAGTGACTGGAAGTTGGCCAGCTGCCAGGAGTACACTAGCTGCCCTGTGTGTGTCATGTAACTTAACGCTCGCAGCTACCCAGTTTTGCAGATAAGACAACAGAGGCTTCAAGAGGTAAGAGACTTGCCTACAACACAGAGATGATGCCCAACTCAGCGTAGGTTTATGGTGAGAATTAGGACAGATGGTGCATGAAAAGGTCCAGACAAACAGAAAACAGTATGTGGTAGATGTCGCTGCCGTTGTTATCATGTTCATGTCCTGAAGCCTAGGTGTTCTGCGTGCGCCAGCAGAGAAGGGACAGATGGGGAGGGCTGGCCCAGGTCTACTCATGGGCTACAGTGGACCAAAGAAAGCTCTAACCAAGATCTGAACCAGCTCAGGCTGCTGGCTAGAGAGACTGAAGTTTGTCCCAGAACAAATCCCCCGCTGGACAGCTTGGCTGTGAGCCCCCCTTGGCCAGTGACAGCTGGGAGGGGAGACAGGCTGCACATGCTTGTCAGGGGGTCTGTTTCTCTACCCCACCCTCCGGGAAGGGGCTGTGAGGCCACCCACTTTTATTGGCCACCGTCAGTAATAGCCTAATACGGCATTCTTAGGACAACAGGCTCTAGAAGGTTAAATAAAGAAATGTACTCTGGCCCCAGCCGGTGTGGCTCAGCGGTTAGAGTGTTGGCCCTTGCACCAAAGAGTCTTGGGTTCAATTTCTGGTCAAGGGCACATACCTGGGTTGCAGGTTTGTCCCCAGCCCCGATTGGGGTCGTGTGGGAAGCAACCCATCAATGTGTCTCCCTCACATCGATGTTTCTCTCTCCCTCCTTCCACTCTCCCTTAAAATCAATGGAAAAATACCCTTGGGTGAGGATTAACAACAACAACAACAAAAAAGAAATGTACTCTGAGGGGTCATAGAATTTCAGGAGCTTGGTATAGAGAGTGTACAGATTGTGAACAAAGGTTATGAAGTCAAGTGGCCTTAATTCCAGTCCTGACTCCACCACCACTTAATAGCTGTGACCGTGGGTCAGGTACCTCACCCTCCTGTGTCTCGGTTTTATAGGTAGCACTGACATCCCTCAGGATTGCAGGGGCTGTTAAATGAGACAGTTTGGGGTCTGACAGTGGTTAGTAGATACCAGAATGAGAAGCACTGATGTGAAGTGCCCAGTGATACCCTGCCTATAGTGAGACACATAAATGCTAGTGGCTACTCGCATTCATGAATGAAGAACCCTGAAATCGCCCAACCGGTGTGGCTCAGTGGTTGAGCATCGACCCATGGACCAAGAGGTCACTAGTTCAATTCCCAGTCAGGGCACATGCCCAGGTTGTAGGTTCGACCCCCAGTGGCAGGCATGCAGGAGGCAGTGGATCAATGTGTCTTTCTCATTGATGTTTCTCTCTCTCTCTCCCTCTCCCTTCCTCTCTCTCTAGAAATCAATAAAAATATATTTTTTTAAAAAAGAACCCTGAAATCACTGTACCTTAATGAGGCCAAATCAGAAAATCTTAGTTGTGTACTGTAGTGTCATAATTTAGAAGAGATCAGAGAGACTTTCAAATGTTTGACTGCAACCCACATGCAAATGTGAGAAATACATTTCATGTTACGGACCTGTGTGCAACCACACATTAACACAAACTGAAACCAAAGTTCACAAGGTAATTCATCCTTACTCCAGAGGCTACAACTGAGTTTCTATTTCTATTTCTAATGCTGGTTTTACGCCACTAAACTGATTTTACTTCCTGTCTATGAGTCGCCACCCACAGTTTGAAAAATACTGATCCAGTCCAATCTCCTTCCCTAAGCTCCAAGCAAGGCCACTTGTGAGAACTCCATTTATCTGAGACATAAAGACGGTTTTAGATTTAAAGGATTTTCTAATCACATTTTCCTTTCAAACCCTCTCCTCTGGAGCAGGGCAGTGTGTAGGTGCCGGGAGGCATAAAATACACAGAAGGGATGAACTGCTCCTGGGCCACTGGGGTATTGGAAGGAGAAACAGCAGCCTGAAGCAATAGGAAGACTGAGGCCCAGGCAGCAGCCATCCAGGGGAGGGGAATGGAGGAAGGCAGGGGCACAGAGGAACCCAGACATCTGGGCCAGAAACCCAACTGGAGATTTTCCCACCCTGCCCCTGGCTCTGTGACTAGAGGACCAAGGAGTAGGGAGGGGACCAAGGCAAGGGGGACTGCACGCACGTGCCATCGGAGCTGTTGCTGTTGGTGCTGCCGTCGGTGGACTCCCGGCTGCCCTGGCGTGTGACCCGACTCCGCATCTCCACGGCGATGCCAGTCTCTGTGCTCCGGCGGATGTTGCTGCGCAGCTTCTTGGTGGCCCCTTCTGTGACCCCTCCCCAAGCACAGAAAGGGAACAAGGTAAGATCATGGATGAGGCCACTCTGAGAGTGCTGCCCAAAGTCACCCTCTTGGGAGGGGGCATGATGGGCAGGGCTGAGACTGGAGGCAGAGGCACTGCTGAGATGACCTCTGGAGCTGGTTTGCAGCCTGGCCCCTGGCCCTCTCAGGGCAGTGACTCGGATAGAGCAGAGTAGGGGTGTGGGGCTGGGGCTGGGGTGTATGGAGTCACCGGGTAGAGCCCCCACCTGGCAGCTCTTGGCCCTCACCCTCATCCTTGCCAGGCTCCCCTGACAGCTACCTTCCCGCTCCATTTCAGCCCTTGCTCCAACGGTTGTGTTCCTGCCTCTCTTCTGGAAAGTGTGCCTTTCGCCAGACTTGTTCTCCCTCATGCACCCCATCTCACTCAGACCGCACAACCCACCTCTCTGAGACCTTCACAAACCCTGTGAAAACCCCACGTGAACTGGCCACCCTCAAACTAACATGCATTCTCAAGGTGGGTCTGGACACAAAGAGGCAACTAGAGAAGCAAGACTGAGAGGGCTGGCTAAGGCTGCCTGAATCGACTTTGGCTTTGAGAGAGAGGTCTGCAGAACCCTGGAAGCTGTGCTTGCCCCGTGTCTCCCCCCTGTCTCCGTGCCTCCCGTTCACAGGGCCCTCCACCCAACCCTGCCCCAGTGTTCAGCCTTGCAGGGAACATGGGCACTTTGCCTCTCCTAGCAGCATGCCACCCTGCCTGGGTTTCCATGGCAACCCACACAGCATTGCAGTGTGGTCCCTTTAGACACCCTCCCCTCCTGGGGTGGGGGCAGGGTCACAGCCGATGGGTTGAAGGTTTGCAGGGACTCCCCTGCTGAAGCTTGGCTGCCTGGAGAGCTTGATGGGGGAGGGAAGCGGCGCTCAGAGAGGGACTGTACCAAAGGAGCCATTTGTATCACTGGTTAGAGACCCGGCAAGTTAAGAGTAAAGTTGCCTGTAGGGATGGGGAGAGGCCAGGAATAGGGCAGGCAGTACAGTCCCCTTAAAAATACTGGGGGGGGGAGCTGGTTACATTGGCAACTCCCTCTCCCATCCATATCCAATGGTGAGAATATTCAAGACCCTGGTCTGGGAAGGGGGGGGGCCTTATTCCTCTTGTTTTATCCTACTTATCTTTCAGGAAGTCCCACTGGAAGATGAAAGGCTAAGAGAGCTAGCATCCCTGGCAGATGGGCTGGGGGGCTGGGAATGGGAGGTGGTGAGGAGAAATGTCTTCTTTGAAACATCCCAGCTTCTGGGAGACTGTAATAACTAACTATCCAGGAATCAATGAGACCATCAGTGTCTGTCTCTCTGTGTCACACACACAGTCACATTAGCTCATTCATACTCACAGGCATAAGCAGATACACACGAGTGCTGATAATCACATTCATGAAGACAGTGATCTCACATACAAGGTCACGTGTATGTTCATGCAACAGTCACAAATGGTCCTTCCAGGTCCTAATCATACATACACATGATATACTCTGCCACATAAATGTGACCTTCACACTTGCAGTTGAACCTCTCCACTCAATCACACACACAGATGCAAACCCACAAATGGTGTGTGACCCACCACACACAGAGGGCTGGGCAATAGCGGAGGGCCCTGTCCCTGGCTCCTAATTGCCAATGTCCCCAATCCAGTTAGAAGACAGATGGGTCTATGGGAGCTGCACTTTACCCTCCTTCCCCTCAAATCCCCTACACACAACACACATCCTGAGATGAAGCCACAGCCTCACCACCATATGGCCCCAGTCCCCTTCTTCTGAAGCTTGGGAAAGCTTTGACCCATTTGGGAGAAAATTTATCTTCTTTGATGAGAGTCGCCCAAAGCACTGTGATGCCCTGGTAGAGGAATCACAGAATCCTGAGATGCTAGAGACACCTCAGCTAGCCCCCAACCCTGTCATTTCACAGATGGGGAGCCTGAGGTCCAGGCATCCATAAGGCCCAGCTGACTCCCAGTCTATGATGCGTGACTTCTCGCTCTTCTCCACCAACTAACTCCACATTGGTTTGAGAAATGATTCAGCAGAGATTAAGTTCCATGTCTTCTGGGTGGGGAGAAAGGTCTTGTAACCTTAGAGAAAGGTTACTGTTTCATACCTATCCAGCCTCTGAACTCTGTTGATCCAGGGAGTAACTTTATGTAGCATCTCTTTCCAGAGAACCAGGACAAGTTGCTTGCAATGATTCTGTGTTCCCTGGAGACTAAAAGACTCCAGGAACCATCCTATCTGTCTCACCACATGCAAGGGAGAGGCAGTTACAGCTCCCACAGCACTCCAATGGCATCTCCTGAATGATGCTGAGTCTTCTTCCCAACCTGACCCAGAGCCCAGAGCCCAGGAGGGAGGAGCTGCTGTCCTTGGTGCTGACGACAAGAGCTCAATTTGGGCAGAGACTGGGACAGCCCAGGATGGCCTTGTGTGGACCCAATCTAAGGCTAGGCCAGAACCCACCTGTGTCCTGGGACCCTAAGGGTCTCACCCTACCCTCTTCATTGCTCCCACAACTTAGAGAATGTTAGAAGAATATTAGATCTAGAAGAAAGCTGAAAGAGAGTCCTTTTTAGCTCCATTTTACAGAGAAAACAGGCCCAAAGGGAAAATGTCTTTCCCAGGATCCCATGAGAAATTAGAGCAGGACTAGTCCTCTAAAATTTCAAGGCATCTTTTTGGAAGCCACTCTATGATCATATGAGGAATAAACCAGAAGGGGTAGACCAGAGGCAGGGAAACAGAGGGAAGGCTGGTGTAATAGTCCAGGCTTTGAAACAAAGAGGGGGGGATGGGCGGAGCTCAAGCCAGTGCAGGGTATGGATAAACTAGGAGGAAGGAGGCCCCTGGGAATACTGGGTCGTGGAGAGGGTTCCTCCCCACTTCACACAGTCTAGTGCTACAGGGAGCTGAGCCACCCCACCTGGGGGCAACAAAGACACCCTGCTGGGATCTTTGCCCAGAAGAGAGTTTCCAGAGCTGATTCCCAAGGTGAGTCAGCCCCATACATCCCTCTGGAGCCAGACTCCCACCCAGGATGGGACACTGGCAACCTCAAGCCTTGGGAGAAAAAAATGGGGACAAGGAATTACAGGTGGGAGAGGGGTGTGCTACAAGCGGGGGAGAGCTGTGAAGGCCAGAGAACTCACTTGCCCTTTGGCTGTACCGACTTACCGTGGGGGTAATAGTAACACCAATGATGTCCACTATGTACAAGGCTGGTGCCTTTGCATCTCCTATGTCACTTAATTCCCTGGGCAACTCTGGAAAGCATGGATTATTGTCCTTATTCTACAAACGAGGCGGTGAGCTCAGAGAGGTGAAGTCACTTGCCTGAGTCACCCAGCTAGTAAGTGACAGGGTGTGGCTCTGAAGGCCACCTTGAAGTCATTTTTCAGGCAAGTGCCTTCCCCTCTTCACGCTCAGATGCTTCACCAATAAAATGAGTCCATTGGACTAGATGAGCTCGAGGGGCCCTTCTGGCTCTGACATTTGGTGACTGGATGATTCACAGAGACGTTCAGTTAGAAGGGCCTCTCTGTAATTCCCCTGGCTCAGCTGTGCCCTCGCTTGCCACAGAGACACATGATGCAGAAGCCTCATCGTCATTCATCCCCCCCAAGGCTGGAGGTCTCCGTGGTGTCCACTCCAATCCCTGCCTGTTGGCTGGTAGTCTAGGTAGGTGGACAGCCCCAGGAAGATCACTGGAATGTCTCCCAGTGACTCAGGCTCCTCCCCTGGAACACTTTCTCCAAATTGCTTTGGGCATAAAGGGGCCTTTGGATCTGAAGCCAATACAGCTGGAGAGTAGCAGGGCTTGGTCTCCTAAAGCCAGACTCCAGGCCCAACACCTCTTCAGGCTCCTAAGTTTAATCCCACTCCTTGGTCCTGTCCCAGCCCAACTCCTGGATCTCCAGGTCCCCATCTTCCTGGTTCCCCTCATGTCAGGCCTGTCCTGCATATTCACAGAGGCCATGCCCACCCTGGGGCACTGATAACTGCAAGCCCCCTCCTCATTTAGCATTTCCCTGAGCCAGAAACCACATGGCAGCTTGAGTGCTGGAAAAGACCATCCCACATGCTCCTTGAAGGGCTTTGTAAAAAGCTATTTTAAGGCCTGGAAAAGTCCCCCACCCCCAGCCCCAACTGGGACTCTTGATGAGCATCCTCCCCTGATCCTCCGGCACCCCCGCCCCCACACCACCCCCATCCAGCTGCCTATTTGAAGATTTCTCAGGGAAGTTGTTACTCTGAGAAAAAAAGCAGGAAGAGATTTTAATACACAACCAGCTGGTGTCTGGGCTGATGCCACAAAGTGAGGAGGTCTTGGTGGGGAGGGCTGGCTCCTCCGTGACGGAGGGTCCAGGTGCGACTGTGTGTGACAAGGTGGGCCACCCACCACTCTGAGCATAACTGGGACTCCATAACGAGATGTCTGAGAAAGTATAACTATTTGTTGGGATGTAGCTGATAAGGTGTGAATGTGGGTTTTTGTGAGGTATGTGCATACACATGTGATGTGTTTCTGTGACCATGGACCACTGTGTGTGTGTGTGTGTGTGTGTGTGTGTGTGAGACAGGGCTTCTGTGATCTGGGTCTGTCTGAACCAGAGGACTGTGTTTGTGTGAATTGCATGACTGGCTTTATTTGTGATTATGTTGTCCTTAGTCGGCAGTAGGGTAGTGGCTTACCTAAGCAACTGAGCACGCTATTCATATAACTATGCAGGCATGTGTGTTTGTGAGTGTGTCTCTCTTGTGATTTTACGATGTGTGTGTGACTGTGTAACTACATTTGTGTGGCTCTTTGTACTTAGGAGACTCAGATTACTGGTGAGACTGAATTGTGGGGATGTGTGTCTGTGAAGCTGTATCCCTGAGCACAGGGCCAGGAGCCTGGTGGCTGTTTAATAAACAATTGCTGGAAAATGTGCAATTTGCCCTGGCCAGTTTGGCTCAGCGGTTAGAGCGTTGGCCTGCGGTCCGGAGAGACCCGGGTTCGGTTCCCGCAAGGGCGCGTGCTTCGGTTGCAGTTTGTCCCCGGCCCTGGTTGGTCATGCGGGTGGCAGCCACTCGATGTGTCCCTTTCACATCGATGTTTCTCTCTCTCCCTCTCCCTCCTTCCCCCTCCCTCCCACTCTATCTGTAAAAAAAAAAAGAAAAGAAAAGAAAAAAGAAAATGTGCAATTTTGTGCAGGGAGGCAGCAGAGTGTAAGGTTAGCAGCATGAACTGGGAAGTCAGCTGCTGGGGTTGGAATGGGGGCTCCCCCGCCCACTAGCCATGTAGTGGGGGGTATCTTACTCCCCTTCTCTGTCTTCAGTACTTGCCTCAGAGTCACAGGAGGATTCAATGAGTCAGGACGTGTACTGGCCCCAGAATAGTGCCTAGTGTATGATAAGTGCTACATAAGTGTTTGTGGTGTGGGCGTGTGCATCCACGAGGACAGTCCCTGGGCGAGGAGACCCGCCCCGGCCCTGGGTGCCCCAGGCCTCCTCACCAGGCTGGGGGAGCTGGAGTGTGCTCTTGCTCCACTGGGTCAGGCCTACGATGGCCACCATCTTGGCGCCGAGGCTGCTGCGCCGCTTCTTGGCCGTGGTGGTCCCGGTCCCGCCCCCCGCCTGCTGGGATCCACAGATTTCACCGCTGATGCTGGAGCTCCGGACCACATTCCTGGAGCCTGTGGCCGAGGCCGGACCCGGCTCCCCGTTAAACATGGTCCACGGGGCGGCAGGGCCTCAGGCAACTCTGTTGGGGAAATAAAGAGACAAAGGGGTCCCACATCAGACCTCGGGGCCACTCGACCGCAGCCACCACTTCTTAGCTGTGTGATCTTGGGCAAGTCACTCGGCCCCTCTGAGGTTGTGAGGATTCAAGAGTGTGCAGAGTCTGGCTCAATACACGGATCTATTCCTGTTGGCACCTGGCTCCCCTGGCAAGTGACCGGGTTTGCTGTACAGGCAGAGGCTGTGGAGTCAAATGGCCCACTGTTGAATTCCAAAGGCCTCTACGCACTGGCTGTGTGACCTTGTGACCAAGCATCCTGAAGTTTCAGAGACACTTCAGCAAAACAAGAGATACAAGCACTCACCTCAGGGAATTGCTGTAGGGATTAAATGGGCACACGTGAAAGAGAGGACATGTTCAGTACGTGTGAGTGATCGTTAATTCATAGCCACTACTGAGAACAAGAACAGGCCTGGCTCCAGCCTGCAGCTGTGCAGCCCGCTGGAAGGGGCTGGTGCAGAGTACACCGAGGCAGGCGAGTCACCCTAAACTGCGCTACTGGCAGGCACCACTATAAGCACTTTAACCCATTCCTCCCAGTCTCTTTTCTATGCATTAAAAAAAAAAAACTGAACTCATACTGCAAAAACAATTTTATATTCTGGTATTTTTCATTTAACATTATATCACAGGCATTTCCCAATGTCTTTAACGCTTTGTATAAATGTTTTGATGTCACCATAATATTCCATTGAATGGAGGTAGCATAATTGACTTAAATATTTTAACACAGTTAAAATACAGATCAGATCCAACTTTCTTCCTTCTCTCCGCCTCTCCCTCCCCCACCCCCCTTCCATCTCAGTCCTTAGGATTGATTCCCTGAAATTGAGTGACTGGTTGAGGGGGTGTGGACACTGCTGGTAGCTTCCCCAACATCCATTCTCTCTTCCTGCTTCCTGACAGAGCACTGGTTTTATCCAGTACCACCCTGTCCTCATTAGTTTAAGCTACTCAGTGTCATTCACCCTGGTAACTCTTACAGGTCCAAGGGTGGACATGTGACAAAGTTGGCCCAATCTGACTTAAGGAAAATATTTGGATTCCATGATTACAAGAGAGGTGGCAGTCCCCACCCCCCCACACACCCTGCTTCTCCTCCCTAGGTGGGGCACAGCACAGAGACAGAAAGGACTCGGGCCACCCTGGAGCCTGCCTTTCTCTGGCTTTTCCGTTATGTGAGATAATGTGCTTTCCTTTGCTTAAGTCAGTTTGACTCACGGTTCTCTATTGCATCCAAAAGCATCCTACCTGATACCGAGAAATGAACTCTCCCCATTAGCTTCATTCAACAAATGTTTAAGGGCTAAAATTCCAAGGGCTATGTTGAATGCCAAAGATATAGTAGTGAGTCAGGCCAATTTCGTCCTGCCCTGCTAAAGTCACCAGTCCAGGAGGACAGACAGACAGTAAATAACTAATAATGCAATTAAATATTTAATGACGGTTCTGATGAGTGGCAGGGAAAAGGACAGAGGGTGCTGGGAGCTACTCTGGGGTCAGGCAGCAGGTACCTATAGCTCTGTGTTATACAGAGGTGGCATCGAAGGCTGCTCTGGCAGGCTCTGTGCCCAGCCCTTCCTGGCTCTGTCCTGGCCCACAGTGTTTTCCCGGGGCAGCTCTCCATCCCAGGGCTCAGGGGCACTTCGCTTGACCCTCTGCCCTTAGGCCTGTCACCTGGAGGAAACCCAACTTTTCAAAAGATCAAAGAAAGGGGTGGGAAAATGAGGTGGTATGAGGAAGGCACCCCTCCAGCTAACGAGGAAGTCAGACTCCAGGCAGCTGAAAAAGGCCACCTGGTCTCCTGGTCAGTGTGGCTTCTCCAGGCTGGTGAATTAGGGCTGCCAGTGGGGATGAGTCAAACATGTCTTGCCTTCTAGGTGGCTGTCTGGACTGTTCTCACTCATCCTGTGATGTGTGCAGAGCCCCGGATTGTATTTCTCCATCCATCCCCCATCAACTTTGCAGCTAATGGAAAGTCCCCTGGACTTGGGCCTATGATGATCTCTTCTCTTTACTTTCCAATTCGAGTGCCAATTGGTGTGTCTTTTTGGGCATCTGCATGGTCTTTTGGTGGATGATAGGAGAGCGCTTATCTGATACTTACAATCTGCTACAGCGTAAGCCTAACTTGCTCTTGAAAGTATTTCTATTAGGTGTGTAGTTATCTCCATGTTGCAGATGAGAAAGCTGAGTCTCAGTGATGTCAAGGACTAGTCCATCTTGCTCAGCTAGGAAGTGGCGAAGCCTACACTCGAACCCTGGTCTCCCATTTCCACAGAGACAGACACACTCTGCAGCCCCTGCCCCTTCAACCCAGAACCCACCCAAAGACGGGCCCATCTCTCCTGCTCAGGCTTTTCCCTGAGCCTCCGGGCTCTCTGAGAAAACTGTCCCAGAGCAGCCAGCCTATAGGAATCTCAAAAACACCCCTCCCAGGGGATGAGAAGGCAAGAGGGTAAGGACAAAATCTCTGACCCTGCCAACCCAGGGACTCATATTTCCTCGTGAATAATGAAATGGCACCGACAAGCGGACGGTTTGACATCCAGGACTCTGCAACAGCCAGGGCCACTTTCTCATCTTTAACCACCCAGGGGGCCTGGAGAGCTGACAAGTGCCTGGGAGGGCTGGTCAGGTCTGCCATCCCCAAGGGGACAGGAGGAGCCAGACCCAAAACACTGGACCCAAGGCCATAGGGCCTGAACCCCAGGACAGGAGTCCTGGGTAGGCAGCCTGGGGTGGTTACGAATCGGGAGGTGGTCCTGGCCGGTTTGGCTCAGCAGTTAGAGCGTTGGCCTGCAGTCCAGAGAGACCCGGGTTCGGTTCCCGCTAAGGGCATGTACCTCAGTTGCAGTTTGTCCCCGGCCCTGGTTGGTCGTGCAGGTGGCAGCCACTCGATGTGTCCCTTTCACGTCGATGTCTCTCTCTCTCTCTCCCTCCCTCCCTCCCACTCGATCTGAACAAAATATGGAAAAATGTCCTCGGGTGAGGATTATAAAAAGAATCGGGAGGTGGAATTAGAAGGTATCGGATTCCTGCGTTGCCTTCTCCAGGCCTTGGTTTCCTTGTCTGTATGTACAACAGAGGGGTTGGTTAGGTGGTCTCTGAGTCCTTTGGCCTGGGAGAGCAGTCGGTGGCAGGCTCAGGACCAGGATGCTAGTTGCTCCTGTGGCAGCCAGTCTCGCCCAAGAAGGACAGAACAGAGAGACAGACAGAGCTGGCCACCTGGCCCCCACGAGGAGGGAAGTCCTACTGCATAGCAACCCCTGAGCCATCAGACCACAGGGACAGGAAAGGGGCAGAGGTGGAGGTGGCTGGCAGGACACAGAACACAGAGCCTCACCTCTGGTGGTTTACAAGATGGCTGAATGAATGACATCCTTTCCACAAAAATCACTTTCAAATTTCCTGCCTCTGAGAACTGTCCTTTTCCCAGCCCAGTTTGGGGCACCCCAAGGAAGGGAACTCTCCCCCGATCTCACTGGGTCATGGGGACCTCACTGTCAAGTTCTCTCTGCCGACCCTGCTCTGTGATAACAGCAGCACCTACAACGACAGCCCAGATTCACCTCTAGGTGGGAAGCTGCCGCCCGACTCCCGCCAAAGCTCCACACAGCAGATGCCTTCCGAGCTCCCCAAGGCACGAGCCTGGTTTTCTTGCTGGCCTTTGACATTTGGCCTCTACTCTGAGGTCTCAGTACCCTAAGGGCTCCCCAAACCCTCTTCTGAATCTTGACAACAGTGGGTCTCAGGGCTCTGCCAGGCCACCCTGGGCCCTTTGGTCCCTTTTTTTTTGAGAGTCAGTGAGACCATCCAAGATGAGCTTAGCCTCTCACCCTTCAACAGGAAAGAACAGGTGTCTGTCACAGGCTGACAGGCTGCTGGGCTGGAAGGGATGGCAAAGAACTGAGGCTCTTACCACCTCTCCCCATCCCCCGCCCACAGCAGACACCACAGATCCATCTCTTCCCCAGCAAGGCAGGTGTAACCTCAGAATCCTCTCAACACCGTGCTCCAGAACCAACTGATGAGAACCAGCCCAGGTTCTCATGGTAGATGAGTTTCCATCCCTCTTCCAGCCTGAGCCTTTCATGTTGCAGAGTAGGAAATCAAGGCCCAGAATGGGAGACACACCCCGGGTCACGTACAAAGTTGGCGACAAATCAGAGCTCCAACCCGTCTCCTAACTTCCAGATTCCACATCACCTGTCAGATGCTTCTTCCTCACCTCTCACCTTAAAGAAAACCCAGACTCACCAAACTGATGAATCTGAGCGTGTTCCACATCACAGGGGCTGTGCCCCTCCCAACAGCACTCCCCTAGGGCATGGACACGAGGCTTCCATTAACTTCTTCCGAGACACCAGTTTTCAAGAAAGGTGGTGAAGGCAATCAGGGTAGCTCCCAGGAGGAGGTGGTGTGATAAGACTCTGGAAGGAAAGAGGAGAGCTTAGAGGACGCGCTAGAGAAGACTTTTGTCCTCAAGGGCATCCAATAGCTTGTGGAGTAAAAAGGCAGACTTTGGGTGTAGCTATATGACCTGAGCAAATCATTTTAACTCTCTGATTCTTTGTTTCCTCCTTCATAAAACTGTCCAAACTCCTGGCTCTCCCCCCACACCCTGGGGCCTTTAGGAACTTTTAATGTCAAACTGCTGGTACTGAAGTTCAACCCACAACTTTAAGACTTTAACACTTATCCAGGTCCACATGCTAATCAGCTCTAGACCCTATTCTTCCTTCCTCTGCCCTTCCCCTGACTAATGGGGTCTGTGTCCCTCCCCAGACACTCTGTGACATGCCCAGCAGTCGGAAGTGTTGGGGTTGGGGATGGGCGGGGGGAGGACTCCTGGCGCCACCACCAGTCATGTGCCCCTGAGCAAGTCACTCAGCTTCTCTGAACCTCCATCTCCTCTTCTATAAACGCATCCACTGGCCACCTGGCCAGGCAGACTCTCCAGGCTGGGCTGGGGATCTGGTGAGATAACGAGGAGCAGGAAAGCATGGTGATTAAACACACAGGCTTTGGAGGCAGACAGACTTAGTTCAAAGCCTAGATCTGCCACCTCTAAGCTGTGCAACACAGGGAGATTTCCTTCACAGACCCCCTGAGCCGACTGTTCCTCATTTCTAAAGTGGGAATAATAATGACAGCCTTAGGATTCTCAGATGAAATATTATAAAGTCAGGATTGGTACATGCTAAACGCTCACTTGGGCAATTACTTATGACTACTCATAATGGTGACTTTGTAAACAGTAAAGAACTGTACAGGTGTTAGTGCTTATTGGTCTGGATCACATACCAGGTGCAACCACTTTATGAGGAGCCTCAGAGACAACAGGGTCACCTGCCACTCCAGCTCTAGGTGCTCTGAGGACAAGTGTGGGATCTGGGTCCCTGCATTCTCAGTCGGGGCGGGAGCTGCCTTGTGAGGCTGTGCTCTCCTTTGCCAGCACCTCAGCTCCTGGCCCCTCCCCGGAGGCTGAGCCTGGCACTTGAGATCCCTGTGCCAACCCCGATCCAGCACCAGGGCTGCCCACCACATCACTCGTGCCACTCTGTGCCCATGTCCAAGGCCAGGGCCCGCATCCACAGAAGGGGAGAGGAGTTCCTATGTTTCTAGAATCCCCCCCCCCCCCGGGGACATACTGGTGGGTGACAGGGCTAGTATGTGGCAGGAGAGGTGGGCCGGGCTGAAGTAGTACACCCAGCCTGAGTGGGGGACAATGTGACAGCTCCTCTCCTGCTTGTGCAACCTTTATCTCCCCCAAACCAGGCTCACACACACAGGGAGAGACACAGGGCACAGAATTTCAAATGTGTGGTCACTTGCCATACAGACCCACACAGACGATACAAGCCTGAAAGACACAATCACATGCATACACAGATACACACACACTTTTAAGATACTCAGCCACACAAAGGCACATAGGAGCAGCCTTAAGCCTTCACACACCCACACACACCTTTTCCTGGGCCCTGTCCAGCCCAAAGAGTCAGGAAGAGCCCCACCCCTTTAGTGCGCAGAGACCTGGGAAGTGTCTTACCCGGATCTGCGGGTCGCCTTGGCCAAGGCACACACACCGGCTCTGAGCTGGTGCTTGTGTAAGCTCGAACACACACTCACACCCATATATGCTCTAGCCCCCTCTCACCCTCCTGCCCGCCCCCCCCAGCAGGCCAGACAAAGGAGCTCGTCAGTAAGGTTTGTGGTGAGAAGATGAAAAGGCTGGCAGGGAGCAGCTGCTGTCACCATGGCTACCGAGCTGACCCACTTCTCCTCCACCCAGCCTGGCCCACCCAGCCCAGGCAAGGGCAGACAGGCAGCTTTGGGCACGGGGGACCTCTCCCATCACAAACAGTAGAGGGGAAGCCCTCTGAGGGTGCAGTAAGGGATGGGTTGAGCATCATATAGGCCAGGCCCGGTATGGGAAGGCAATCTTCAGACATCCCTTATGGAGAGCAGGGTGCTGAAGAGATGGCCCCTGCATGACCTAACCCCTGGTCTCCCCAGCATTGGGCCTCAGGGACCCACATGGGTCATGCACTTGTCCTGGACACATTCTCAGACACAGTCCTCATGGCAGGACCCAAACCTGTGTCTCCCAGACTCCAGGACTCAGGACATACAGTCAGGCAGCTTAGAGCTGGTTGAGCCATGTCCTGTTCGGAACGAGGTTCCTGGGGGCAGGGCTTTCCCGGCCCCTGGGGCCAGGGGCTGCTGGGGCATAGGCATGCCTTCATTGTTTGGAAGGTACTGTCATGTGTCTTCTCCCAGCCAGGGGGCTCCGAGGACATGGCCGTGCTCTTTCCCTCAGAACGGGGGACACAGGAACAACAGAGCCCTCAGACAGCTCAGTCTTGTGAGGAGACAGCTCACAAAGCAGAGTGAATCACTCCTGCGTGACAGCCTCCTGTAGCTCCCATTGCCTTCAGGAGAAAGTAAGAACCCTTCACCGAGGCCCACGAGCCAGTGACCCAGCTCACCCTGCGCCCTCGCCCTCCTCTGTTCCAGTCGCTCTGGCCTTCTTTCCGTTCCTCCACCGGCTGCCCAGAATGCTCTTCCCCAGTCTGCCTGCACCCTCGCGATCTCCGAACCTGGTCTGTTGCACCACCTTTGCCTGGCTGGTTCCTACACATTGCTCGGTCCCAGTTTGAATGTCATATCCTAGGAGAGTCTTCCCAGATGAGGTTAGTCCCTTGTCATGCCCCCCCCCCCCCCCAGACTCTGTACTGTCCCTGCCTGATATGGATTGAATTGTGTCTCCACACAAAAGATACGTTGAGGTCCTAACCCTGGTATCTCAGAAAAGACCTCGGAAGAGGGTCAATGCAGATCTGATGAATTAAGTTGAGGTCCTTCTGGAATACAGTGGGTCCTTAATCCCATATAACCGATATCTTGTAAGAAGCTGGCCACATGAAGACAGAAACACATTTGGAGAAGGCCATGTGACAATGGAAGCAGAGATTCGAGTGATGCAGCAACAAACCAAGGGACATCAAAGATTGCCAGTTGTCACCAGAAGCCAGGAGGGACCCATGGAACCGTCTCCCTCAGAGCTCTCAGAAGGAACCTAACTTGCCAACACCTTGATTTTGGGATTCTAGTCTCCAGGATTGTGAGAAAATGAATTTGTGTGGTTTAAGCCATCGAGTCTGTGGTACATTGTTACAGCTGCCCTCGGAACGAATACACTGCCATTCCTAACTTGCTCAGTGCCTGCCTCCCACCCCCAGCCCCTGGCTGTGAGCTGCTAGGAAGTAGGAACCATGTCGTCTTCTCTACCCTGAATTCCCAGCGCCTGCCACATAGTAGAGCTCTGTAAATATTTGATGAATGAATGAATGGTGATCTAAAATAAATATGAAATTAACAGTATTTATAGCTGGGTAGTAGAACTGGGAGTCGTTTTTATTTTCTTCATGTGACATATTGTGTTTTCTAAAGTTACCTTTTTAGAAACTGTATTAATGTTACCATAAAGGAAAAACTAAATATATATTTTTGTTTGCAAGTGTACATTAAAATAACAGACATTTTTACCACCGTGTATTTTGTGAAGACAAAAAAGTTCTGCTATATTCTTGATAACTGCTTTTTTATTGATTAATTGATTCCTCCTTGTGTCGCTAGAGTGCTTTCCGGAGTCAGATTTACGGAGTTTGAGCTCTGGGGACTCGTGGGACATAGATTCCAGGCAGAAAGGGTCCAGGCAGACTATGCATGCTTCTCAGCCATCTCTACTGTCCACTGCCTCTCAAAGCTCATGGGATTGGGCCAGATGTGGCACCTGTCACCTGACAGGGGCTGCTAGACTTGGCACTTGAGAACACTACCAGCCCTGGCTGAAGACCTTTCCCCCCCCAAAAAGCAAGCTCCTTCCCTCAATGAATGCACTGCCCAGTGCTCCTCAAACTTAAATGTACACACGAATCACCTGGGCATGTTGTTGAAATGCAGATTCTGATTCCATGGGTCCCAGGGGGAGCATGGGATTCTGCATTTCTTACAAGCTCTCATTCTGCTGGTCCATGGATCACCCAGGGCACTGAGAGACAAAGATAAAATACTCTGGTTGCTCTGCAGAAGGAGTGAGCTCTTGTGGATGGGGAGACCAGAGAAGGCATCATGGGGGAAAGCACTGCAGAGCACCCCAAAAGACAGGGGGCATTTGGAGAGGTAGAGGTGGCAGGAGAGAGGTGGGAGCTACCTGGGAAGGTCCAGAGAGAAAACGTGATGCTCAGGACTGGTGCAGTTGGAGCAGAAGGTAAGTACAACTGTGAAGAGAGGGCTGGAAAGGTAGGCTGGGAACAGCCAACGAAGGGCTCCGAATGAGGGCTAAGAGGCTTGGCTTCAATCCCGAAGGGAGTGAAATCTGACATGACTTAGATGCAGTGTTTTACAGAAATCAATCTGACACGGAGTGCAGAATCAGAAGAAAGCCGACAGCAGGGAGAGCAGTCAGGAGGCAGGTAAGGACTGCACTGCTTCGCAGGTGTAGAGAAAAGGTGGCCAGGAGTCATGGGAGGGCTTGGGGGCTGCCTAGAGTTAGTGATGGGACAGGTTGGGGAAAGGGGAAAAAAACCCCACAGAATCCAGATTTACAGGAAGGGTGGGGGCCGGGAGGTGCCATCGGCAGATCCTGAGGTCCCAGAGGAAAAAGTTGGCTTGAGGGGAAGATGAGTCCCCGTTTTAGATATGATAAGTCTGAGATAATACTGCAACTCCCACATGGAGGTGTTGGGCAGGTAAGCAGATTCTTTGGAGCTCAGAAGAGCAATGTGAGTGGGCAGGATTTGAGTATGTTCCCCAGAGGGAAAAGTGGGGTATGGAAAGGAAGGAGAATGCCCAGAGAAGAGGAGAGTGAGGAAAGGGCCAGAGATAATATCCAGAGTCAGGGGCAGGAGGAAAGTGGAATCCG